TTACCTAGAGGGTAACTGAAGGCTTCCGTTCAAAGCTAAGTTATTTGTCACAAGATGCTTCCATGCACCTGCGGAGTGCTCACGCTGGATGCCAGGATCACTTCTGCTGAAAGCGGCTGTAAGCCGGGCCTGGCGATGCGCGCCTTCACTCCCACCACTACGGAGACGAGGCAGGATGACTGCCGTGAGTTCGAGGCTGGTCTGGCCTGTATAATGAGCTCAAGGCCAGCCCAAACTGCACGGTGAGGCTTGTCTCAGAAGAAAACACAAAAATAAAAAAACTGGGGCAGGATGCTCAGAGAGCCATTCTGCGGGCCACCAGGTGTGGTGGCACTTGCCTGTGATCCTAGCCCTTGGGAGGCTGAGGTAGGAGCACTGTTTAAAGTTGGAAGCTGCCCTGGACTACAAAGTGAGCTCCAGGCCGACCGGAACTGCTCTGAAACCCCATCTCAAAGACACAGAAAGAGAAAGAATGAAAGAAAAGGGCCAACTGTGAGATACCTAAGATTTATGCAATCTCCTCCTAAGAGTTTTTCTTGTCAAATTCAAGGCCCTGGGTTTGGTCTCTAGCACTGAAAGAAAAAAATCCTCAGAGAGTCAACAGCCAAAACTATGCACCAAGTTTTTCCCACAAATTGTAGGCCACACTGCACCACCCCCTGGAACTCGGCAACGCTGCAACAGTTGGTATGCTTGCTATTTGGGTTTTATAACCCTTTTGTTTTATTTCAAAAAATTAGTAACTTCACTTTTATAGAAAGGAATATTTCCACTATTCTTTTTTATGTGTAACCCTTTGCCTTTGGATTTTGAAATCTTGAAGTCATTCCTAGCAGTATTTATATAAAATCTCACTGCTAGTAACTGCTATTGTGCTATTTATATTTTTCTCATTGTCTTAGGCATACCCAAAGTCTTTTAAAAATATCTGCTTTGGCAAAAATTGAGTCAGGAGAGGCAAGAAATGAAGAATGGGATGTGGGAGAGTGGTGAATTATTGCATAATAAATTTTACCTTCTACATCACTGAAATTCCAAACTACCGAGGGTGGGAACATCGTGGCTGATGTTCAGAAACTGGCTAACGCCAAACATTTCCCATGAATTATAAGCATGAGGGGTTATTCACAGTTCAACATAAAAGTCTACTTCCCATGCTTAATTTATAAGGTCAACTGAAGGTAAGATCCATATAGTTTAAACTTTTTTCAGGCTTCTTGGTAGAAATTAAAACTTACACTCTACCTCATGATTATTTCATGATTGAACATCAGCCCACAACAACTTGCTTGTGCTAACTTAGGGTGCTCACATTTGTAATTATTTTTGTCTAAAGCAGGGAAGGCTAGCTCTTCCACAGTGCGCACAGTGTGCATGAGCACACTATATTAATTAATCTTTAATACTTGCTGAACTTTTACCTAAGCACTAAGATGGGAATACTGTGGAGCACCTTAGTCTTTAGCATGTGAAATTTTTTCGAAGCTAGAGAGTTGGGAAGATCTACTGCAATGAATGGCCTAGAATGGCCAGTAATGAGGGGAATGCCACTCACCAGCTAGGAGACAAAGCCTTCGGCTGCAGCACAAAGACCTGGCCCAACAGCTGCAGTTCCGGCTCTAATTCTACTTGCGCGAATGTGCATTTATGACTTAACCTGGCCGTGCCTCAGTTTCCTCATTTCTTAAATGAAGATAAGTCAGGTGCAACATGAAAACCTCATCCAGAACCTGGTAAGAAAGTGCGCCACAAATACTGGGAAGGGGGTTCAGGCGAAGGGGATGCAGGCAACAGCTACACTCACGTTAGGTTACATCCACCCTTGCTCTCAGGGAGGCCTGAAGTCTCAGAGAAACCAGCAAATTTCTCGATGTGCCCACCCACATTCGAGACTAATCAGCATTCCTTTTTCCTCTGCTTAAATCAGGGCCAACAAAAGCGACTATCTCTTGACCGTTAGCCTAAGGAAAAACTTAGAACCTGGCCTTACATCTGTTTTCTTTCCTGTTGTTCTGTCCTCTTTTTTCCCTGAAGATGCCTTTCTCCACTTTGGCTACGTGACTGACTTCTAGCTGTGTAGCAACCAACCTTCACTTCACATTTTCCTGAAGTGCAGCTCCATTTCTGCAAAAGCAAGCTTCTGGCCAATAATCCCCACCTCGGTAATCCCATACAGTCATCACAGTTGGCTGCGCTGGACTTCACCCCCAAGTGTAGGCTGCACTAAACAAAGACATCCTGATCTAACTAGACTGTCAAAAATGGAGCGCACACAAACATGCTGCAGCATGGCACCACCCGTGGGGCGGCCTCGGAAACTTCCGTACTTATTTTCTAAATGGATGATGGTTAATAAGCACATTTCCACAACAACATAACAGTTCCGATGCCCCACACCCGAATTCGCTCGGTCCACACAACCCTCAACGTGAGCGCTCCATCGACACAAGCACCCTGGAGGCAGACGTGTGGACTTCCACCGGCCTCTTCACGAAGCTCCTGTTTTGCTTGAGAACTCTGCCTCCCACGAGACGCGTCATGGACTGAAACACACACGGCACAGCCCAGCCCCAGCTGCGGACGCTGCTAACGCGAGTCCCGCCCACCGGACCGCTCCGCTCTAACGCTTCCTCCCGCGGCCCAAACGTCCAGAGCGGCCCTCACTCCGCATGCGCTGCGCCTCCATCAACTCCTCCAGGGCGCCGGCCTGCGATGGCTGGAACGTGGCCTTCTGCAGCTTCTGACCTGCCTCTGTCTGGCCCTGCAGAAAACATTTCTGAACCCTGGGATTTACTGCCTAATTACAACAACGGATAGCATTGCCAGTTAATTAACCTGCCCTACGCCAAACTGTAGGCTGCATTTACCTGCCACCTAAATGTCAGTGTGATGACTGTCAGGAAGACAGGACCAAAAGAACACCTTAGAGTTTCCAAAGAAAAAGAAAATTTCACACACACAGGAACCCCCCCACCCAGAATGCAGTAGAGAAAAATCACCCCACTGTCAGAACCACCCACGAGGTGCACCACGTGCAGGTCCGAGGGCAGACCGTCCAGGGCTTTCTTGCTAAGGGGGGACAAAGCTTGCCAACCTTCGCTGAAGTTTCAAATCCTGAGGCTCCCCTCTGCTACAACACGGCAGCGCTGACGATACGGAACTTGCAGATAATGTCACTTGCAAGAGTATGAGCCAACCCTAGGTGGTACACACCATGTGGTAACTGCGAACACATCTCGGTGAGTGGCACAGGCCAGCGCATCCCTAGGATCCTGGCACTCGGGAGGCTAGGCAGGAAGACTGTTCAAGTGCAGCTGAAACTACACAGAGAGTTCAAGGCCAAGGCCAGCTTGGACTACACAGCAACACTGTGTCTCAAAAGGCTTTTGCTCGTGCGCACGCTCACTCTCTCAGCTCCCACAAGTTCGTTCATTTAATCCCAGATAATTAATTTTGGGTAGCTAAACTTCATCCCATCATTTTGCAAATATTTAGTAGTCAGCATTGGCAGGTAGTAAGGCTAAAAAAGAAAAAAAGAAATAGTCTCTGCTATTACTTTTCTATGCCTTAATATTCCCCACTACCCAAACTTCCAGAACCCTACAGTATTGATATTTCTTGATAAAAATGTTTCCCAAAGTACTGTTTTGGTATCAACCACCCATAATTCAGTAATACCCTAAAGAGAAGTTACAACAAAAGAGAGGGCTATTTGGCATAGGCATTTGCCAGCAAAAATGAAACAGATATCATTTATTTTAGAAACTTTGAGCTGCACTGCCAAAATACAGAATTCAATGTTCTTGTACAATGCTCAAAATGGTTTTCTTTTCATCTGTTCCCAATTGCCTTATTATATTTTAAAAAATTGATATTTATGCCGCTTGGCAATTTTTATGCTTTGATCAAGTACATTTTGCTTTATTAAACCATAATGTGTCTAGACAGCACTGAAACAAAATAAACATCTTAAAAAGGAGGGGCTGGGGAGATGGCTCAGTGGGATAAGTGCTTTCTTGACAAGCCCAAGGGCCTGAGTTCAATCCCCGGTTCTGCCAAAAAATGAGAGAGAGAGAGAGAGAGAGAGAGAGAGAGAGAGAGAGAGATTTCTTGCCAACAGTTTAATTCTCCCAAATAATCAGAGGTCTAGAACCATGACAGTGACTGGTGAAGCAGGGTAACGTGTAGATGTCCTACTGAGACCCTGAACAGCCTCCAGTGGAACGTGGCCCGAGCTACGCTGCAGCGACTGCAGGTGTAAGATACCCTGATGCCGAACCTCATGATTCGTATAAACACGACTGCACCAAGAGCAGTTGTGCTCATATCAATTGAGATTCATGGGTGAGCAACACAGAAAAACCTCAAAGGGATGGAGGGGAAGCGAGTATCTGGAATGATGTTAACATGCACAAGGTTTCTCTTGGGGGTGCTGAGCACATTCTAAAATTGGTGCTATGCCAGGCGTGGTGATGCACACCTGTAATCTCAGCACTCAGAGGCTGAGGCAGGAGGATCGCCCTGAGTTCATGGGCAGCCTGGGCCACATAGTGAGTTCAAGGTCAGCCTGACCTACATAGTGAGACCCTGTCTTAAAACAAACAAACAAAAATGGGGATTGTTGCACAGTTCACGAACGCACTAACATCAACTGAACTGCCCCCCTTCTGTGGGTGAATTTCCAGTATGTGAAGTGTACCTTAATAAAGCTAGGGGTTCTCAGTTTAAAACGCTGATCGAGCTCTGTTTTCTAAAATTTCGCAGACTGCTTCTGTATGAAACTGTTGCTTCCTGGATCGTCTGGTTTTACAGCCCCAACACTGTGGCCATGAAGAGCTACTAGTTTTGAAGGCAGCAACCAAAGCAATACAATATCCCTGCTTTGGGATTCTGCATGCGTCAATAGGGGCCTCAAGCAGTGACTTCTTCACATAGCCGCGACAAACGAATTACCCCAAACCCAACAAAAACAAACAAAATCCTTGAGTGGGTTCTTGTACCTGGTAATCCAGAATGCTGAATCCTAGGCCTTTGTGATCTTTCACCAGCTCAACAGTCTTGACCTCTGGAGACCACAAGGCCAGCTCTCCCTCATCATCCCCTTCGGGATCGGCACTGACATCAACGCTCCGCTCACCCTAGAACACCAAAGAGAAATGCTTCAAACCCGTGCGCTCTGGAAAAATCAACTCATGAGGAGTCTCACAGTGTCACTGCAAACCGGGGAGTTCTCTTTGGCATGCAGTTTTTCTCTATCTTCCTGTTAAAAGCACCATGCACGGGGGCATACGGTCAGGACAAGATATCTATGAAAAATCCAAGCACTGAAAACACTACTTGTCATACAGGCTTTTTAAAATGCAAAGTATGGGTTTCATTGAAAGAATTAACACTGACCTCTTATACTTCAATGAGTTCTCTCATCCCATTAGAAGCACAAAAGGGAAAATATGCAACGTAAGCAAAAATAAGACATCATACAAAATACAAGCGTGTAAGAAATTTACAAAGCAGAGTCTGGATGCAAAGTCACAATGACAGAAGGTGTCACTATGCAGACAGGGGGCGCAGGGCACAGAAAAACCTCTTGAGGCTCCAAGGAGTTTTCCAAAAACTTTACTGGAAAAATAAGGGGAGAAAACTCCAGCTCCTCCAACACCGAGGAATTCCAAAAATGGGTAAATATCACTGAGTCAAAATCATGAAAATCAGGTTCTGGGAGAAATAGCTTCCCCGAGCGCACAGGTCCTGGGTCTCTCTCCTCAGCTGGAGCCCCGTGGTCCCGAGGTCCCAGGTCCTGTCCTCAGTCTTGCTCTGCGGGTGTCCAAGACCTGGGAGCCAGCCCACGGGGCTATGGCCACAGGACAGTGGCACCTCCATAGCCTTCACACTCACATGGCTTACAGCATCTGACCTATCTTCCCCTGATGCTCTGACCTGTGCACAACTCAAGGACATCTTTCTTCTTTGTCACCCCAGCCGCTGACCAACGCTGGCTCTGGAGTGTCCCGCCTGTGCCATCCCGCCTCTGCCACCCTGGGATGCTCCCAAAATCATTGGTTCAGGACATTATGCGTCGTCAACTTCTCAGCGTTTCTCTTAAAATTCCTAAAAGCAAACTTCTTAGAGCTGTGATGTCAGCAAATGAAACGTAAAACACGAAAAAAGTGTCGCTGCTGGAATCACAATCGCCATCATGAGCGACCTGACTCGAGTAATAAAGTCCCGGGTGAACTTCCGGAGGGGCTCTCGGTACCTGGGAGCGTAAGGCACCAGGGGCAGCTCGGAAATATTTTCAAAGTCAGGCTGGCCCAGCTCTCAAGCCGGCGCAGTGGGACTGAGTCTCGACACGAGGACAGTCCCAGGTTCCCGGAGTGCAATGAGCGAGAACGCTCTAGATCTCTGGGTACTTCAGCTGCGTGAAAGGGAAAAATCAATCTTTCCATAAGGGGAAGGCTCCAAAGACTGACGCCATGAGACTGGTGCTCCCCTGCGGTCAGTGCCCGCTGCTTAATGAGGGCCAGGACAGCGGGCCCTGAGCCCGGCCACGCCTGAGAATACAAGACACTGCCCGGATAAAGGCAGAGAACAGGGAAAACAGCCACGGTTTCATGTTTTGCTCTTTTAAATGTGACACCAGGGATCACACTTAAGATCTTGTGTTTGCCAGGCAGGTTCCTACGCTGGTGAACTATCTCCCTGGCCCTACAAGCCAGGGTTTTAAGAAACCACACACAAGTATTGATTACCAAAACTGTCCTATTAATCAGCTGTGAAACTGTCTCAATCATATTTATTTCTCAATAAAAATAAATTAAAAAAAGAAACCATACACAATTATAAAAAGAATAATAAGTTTACAGAAATACCAAGGCATCTCGCAGGTGCATAAAATACTATGCACCAACCCGAAATGCATCACTCCAACAGAATCAGTTCTGTGTAACTCGCATTTACAGAACGGAAAGCAATCAGCTAATGGACAGCAGCACAGCTGGCATGTGGCATAATTTCTGCTGGCGTTCACGTCATGCTGAAGAATGATGGACGGGCCGGAGCCAGCCCACGTAGGTGATTTACACCCCAAGGAGGGATGGGCCTCCTACTGGGGGGCCAGAGGAAGCCACCTCACTCCGCACCTCAGCAAGGACAGCAGAAGTCCAGGGAGTTTAGCACATGTGTGGGATTCCTCCCTAAAGTTCCTTTTTTTTTTTTTTTTACAGAAGATAGATGTCACCAGGGGATGCATCGTTGCCTCCTTGGGAGTTAACAGCCCGGGGAGCTTCCTCTCGTCACCTCGCTGGGCCCACCCCCACCCCGTTGTCCAGGTGCCGCACCCAGCCACCTGGTACCTGCAGCTCGGGAGCGGAGGTGTCTGAGGTCCTTGGCTCATCCACAGAGGCCTCGTCATCAAACAGCCGCCGACAGCACACCAGGGTGAAGGGGGGCGGCACTTCTTTCAGGAAGGAGACCGCTTCCCGCCGAGACCTTCCGTAGAGCTGCACTCCGTTCACCTGGGGGAGAGGGCGGGGCACTGCGGTGAGAAGGCAAAACCTGCTCTCTCCAACAGGAACGCAGACACAGCAGGCCTGACTTTAGCCGTGCCGCGGCAGTAGCTACTGAACGTGTTCCAAATCCTCAAAATCAAGGCTGAATCTGCGTGCAGAGAGCACAAAACGCGTGGGGCGTGCAGCTGGGACTGTGTGCCCTCCTGACACCTCACGCCTCTTGTTGCTCCCCTGGCTCTCCCAGGAAGACCGCGCCTTATCTCAGAGGCCAACACTGAGAAGAGCTGACTCCACCAGAGCGAGATGACTGTCCGACGAGACAGAAATGTTTAGCTGGACCGAAGCACGACACAGTGCAGACACACTCAAAAACTTCACCTTGCCCCATTTATACCAAGGCTGATCAAAAATACGGTGTGCATTTATAAAAAGATCCATCACAGTAAGGACACATTGCCTCTAATCCTCCCTCAAGTACACCCCCGCATCCCACTGCCCAGGCCGCGTTCCGCAGCAGTCCTGTGCAGCCCCTTCCTCAGCGTCTTTATCAGTGTGATCAAAAATGCAGTGAATGCCGCGGCCCTTAGTGCCAGCTAACAGAAGGGCGCTCGCAAGCAGGGTGCTGCTGGCTGTTCATCAGAGCTGACACTGACTTCCGGCTCTTCCCAAAAGTCACGACGACCACGAAAGGTGAACACTTTGAATCAATTCAAGACAAAAAGGCAGCCAGGGTGGTCCAACTAAAGGGGCTCCAATAGGATGATGCCTTTGGAAAAATAATGAAATGGAGGTTAAGAAACATGGGCTGGTGCTGGGGAGATGGCTCAGTGGAATAAGCGCTTGCCTGGCAAGTGCAAGGGTCTGAGTTCAATCCCCGGTTCTGAAAAAAAAAAAAAAGGAAAGAAACATGGGCTGAACGTTTCATTCTACCCTTAATTCTTTCCAGATGTATCTCGGAAGCCTCACGCACTCGCAGGCGGGCCTTTTCAGAGGTGGCTGGCCCGTGGGTGTGTGATACCAGGACTGAAGATGGTGGCAGCACACTAGTCCACTGGTTGGTATACCACATGTGTGGGTGTGGACAATGGGAAGGCCCACCTGGGTGTAGGAGGGACCACTCAAAAGGCAGGTAGCTGGGTGGGAAAAAGGGCAAGGGAGGCTACTGCTGCTTGCCGTCTCCTTCAGGCCTGCCCTGCCGTGGCCTGTTTCTCTTCTGCGGTGGCTGTCCACTTGCTGCCCTGCCTTGGAGTCAGCTACCACGGGCTGGAACCTCTACAAACCGTGAGCCAAATAAACCTCTGCTCCTTTAACTTTGGGTGTCAGCTATTTTGTCTCAGTAACGAGAAGAGAAGTCCTTGAGAGCAGATGTGCCCTGAAGTGCTCTGGGGGGTCCACACGTGAGAGTCCAGCTGCAGGGTCGGTCTGAGGAGCAACTACACACACACCAGCTCTGTAGAAGCCTGCAGTCGCTCACTCCAAACCTGGTTAGAAACAATCCACAGAACCTGCAGCCACTGTGACCAGGCAGTGCAAACAAGGGTCAGGGACCACATCCTTTGCTAGGAAAAACACACCATGAAGCGATCAGGCTTCTCTCTTAGACCATTGTTAGACAAGCGCTCACGTGGACAGGCGAGGAACCATAGTGGCTGAGGACGGTGGCCTGAAGCCACAGCACCTGCTTCGTCACCCAGTGCACTGCCAGCCTCTCCAATCCAAGTGATGAGGATGTAGCTCGGTGGACACACGCTCCTACCCTAAAACGTCCTGCCTGGTATCTGTCTTCCTCCATAACTCTTACCTCGAGGAGCTCATCCTCTGGCTGCAGGAGGTTCAGGGTGTCCACGGGGCCCCCAGGAGCAATTGAAGAGATGTAGTGGTGCCCATCGAAGGAGTCCACTTCCACGCCCAGCCTTAGCGTGTGGATTGGCAGCAGCTGCAGCAACACACAGAGCATGGCAGGAAGGTCACAAGGACACAGGCACGCACTCAGCCTCCAGCGAGAGTCACTCTGACACGCAATAACCACCTCTGGAGCCTGGTCACCGAGTCCCAGAAGACCACGATGTGGCAGGCAGCCTCAGCGAGGTGATAAGGGTGCTGGCCCTTACTCTCCTTCCCCTGTTCCACACACCCGGGCCGTGGACAGACGGACACGTGCAAAGTCTTGCCTTCTGTCCCAGGCCCCACAGCCATGCTCCCAAGCCCCCCGCATGCGCTGTGTTCCCCCTTTTCTGTGGGGCTGCTGACTCTGAACATGCTAGCCCAGTTCACTACCCAACGTATTTCCTCCTACACCCAGCACCTAAGCGATGGCACTTCCGGGAGGCCTGAGCGGCCACACCTCTGTCCTGTGTTCTGAGCATGCCCATGGCAACTGACAGGGTCGCATGCTTGGCAGTCTGTTTTCTTGGGTCACCCTCCACCACCCCACCCAAACGCAGAGTCTGCGCCCGTCAGCCCTGCAGGGCTCTGGAACAGTACCAGGCGCACACCCTGGGCGCCCTGGGTCCACTTGAGTGAAGTCAGATTTGCAGACAGCAACCAGCACCCACTCCAGAGCCTGCTGGGCTGCAAGCACTGTGCAGCCTCAGGTGTGGGGCAAGGACTGAGACGTACATCCTGCACCAGAGGAATGAGCTGGTGTCCTGGCTGTGCTCACCTCTGGTGGCTGCAAGGCCGAAGGCCCTCTCCGTCCGAGATGAAGCCAGTGTTGCCCTGCGTGGCTCTGTGAGCTCCAACTTGGTAAACACTGCTAGCTATTATTTACATTTCCTAAATCAACAGCCTGTTTTCCACAAACACCAGGCCACATGGACTCTCCTCAGCAGGGAGGGATCCCTAGGAGGTGGCATCAGGGCACTGTGCCCCCCACAGTGCCTCCCACGCCCAGTCATCCCCGAGTCACCACCTCCCCTCCATCACCAGAGCTGAGCCCCCGATCCTACAGGTCTTGCTTCGGACACCACCTGGGCTCATTTCAGGCCCAGGTCAGAGACACAGACAGCTTCTGGGAGGCAAGGAGTCCAGGCAGCAGGGTCCGAGGAAGGAAGTCCTGGGCCCACAGCTAAGTGTCTGAATGCAAAGCAAAGTGCTCCTGCTGCTGAGCAAGGGCGGACATTGACCCCCGTGGCATGAGGTGTCCTAGACCCCGGCAGACGGCCCCGATGCTTCTCCTTGCCTCCCCT